CAAGGTAGCTTCTCCGTATGCCACAGTCAACATTCGGAATGCATCCGCGCACTTAATTTCGTTTTTCACACAAAATTTGATACAGGTTCTTTGATCCATTTTTTTTAATAGGTAAAAATCGAAGACGATCCAAAACACCTGCAAGCAAAGCAGCTGTCAACAATTAAGTGAACATTCAAAATGGCCGAGCTTGTCGGCATAAGTGAGAGACATGAGTACCAACATAAAGCCACAAAAAGATCGAAATTCGAATATACGTAACCCGCGAAAATTCAAAATTCGCGATACCTTTTGAACACACCTCGTATACAGTAAACTTAATTTACAAATTCTTGTAGATTACATGGAAACAAATTTGTCATTGTGATCTGATATAATTTGTAAATTAAGTTTACTGTGCAATAAATTGATAAAGAGGGAGCAATCTCTCGAAATATTTAGAGAAAAAATTGTTTTTTTTTTTTTTTACAGATCCAGGTACGTCCTTTTATGTAAACTTATTTGATGGATCGCCTTTTGACTCAAATCTTATTTTTGTAAATTTCGATTCTCGTTATTCGATTTAGGACTCTTAAACTTTATATATTTATTACTTATTTCTTACACTTTAAGAAAATTAGACCCCATACTCTCTTCCGTAGAATATGAACAATCATTTTGAAAATAAATTAAATTCAAGTATAAATAACGTTTTATAACTTTCTTTAGAAATATAAAGTTATACATATTCTCAATTATTTTATTTTAAACTAAAATTAAATCCTAAATAGACAAAAAAAAAGTCGGAATTGTATTTGTAGTTTCGCAGAGAAATTGCTATTTTAAAAATATTGCATAGATAACAATTTTTAATTAAAATAGGCTGAAAATTTTACGGGAAGGATATATTGATCTGTGTGATTGACGACCACACTTTGCTTCAGCGAGCGCGAACTGGGACAAAGGTTCACTACAGATCTATAAAAGCCAAGTTTACTTGTCTCAACAAAATAGATGCTAAAACTAAGTATCCTAGGTAGTAACCATTCTTTTTCAAACTTGCGGACTCAGATTTATGACAAATCCATAACAACAGGCAAATTCAGGACGCCTAACTGGAAACCATGCTTACGGTCTAATGATTCTTATCAGTCTAGGGAATGAGTCGGCAATATTTTGAGTAGGAAGAGTCAAAAATTACAATTAACAAAATTTCAAGTTTTTAAATAGTCACAACATTTTTTCTTGCAAAAAATAAATAGTACTCGCATAAATAATATTTGCAAATGAAACTATAAAGAGCCGTAGCTTTACATCCAAAGAGCCGCATGAGGCTCGCGAGCCCTAGTTTGACGACCCCTGGTCTAGGGGTGTCTATGATTGATTCCATGAGAGCCACAAAGGATTAAATGGTATTTTTCCATGAGGATCTCAAAAATCAAAGCCCGCCCTGGACTGACGATAGCCATTAGTTCGAAACTATGGTCTCCAGATGGGCGACCATACATCCTTCAAGTATTACCTTTATCCACTATCAATGTCGGACAAGATGTCCAAACTGCCGATTCTCTTCCTCCCAATCGTCTTCAGCATGCCATCTCCGAAGTTATCTGATTTATAATGTTGGATTGAAGCCCATTCTCCTCTGCAGCTGTCTACACACTGACTGACACATGGCCTAGTTGACTTGTCCTAACACAATGCCATCTGTCTGAGTGTGAAAATGCCCCAGGGATGGGAAGGTAGGGCTCTATAATTAGGAAACCTGTTTCTCTCTTTTCCCTTCACCCTCATTCACCAAATGACCCGTTTTACTTCAAATCAGATTAGATAGAGTGTATCTGCCTAATACAGCCATTTATAAGGTTGTCCCAAAAGTTCGTATTTTTCCTAAAACGTTGTTTTTCTTATTACTTGGTGAATTATATTATTACGGCGAATACATAATATATAATACATAATACAATTACTTTATACATAATATAAAGAAATTATACATAACGGCGAATAATATTAGTATTTCAATTTTTTGCAAGTGTTTACGAACTTTTGGGACAACCTTGTATTAAGAAATTGTCAATACGATATATGTAACGTTGTTATTATTCAGGTTAATCAGGCCTAAGAATGTTGGATCTATTCAATGAAATTTCTCCAACATAATCAATTTCCTGGTTAATCTTTTTAAATGGTAGTAAGACTTTGCTTTGATTTCTCTCTTCGTTTGATACATGAGGACATCCTTTTGATCTATTTCCTTTAATGCGACCTTTTATATGAATAGGCTATCATAGCTGTTGTGTATTAACTTATTTACTTATATTGTATCTTCACTGTTTTGCATAGTTGGTTATGCTTTCAGAAGATAGCACTATTTTGCATAGTTGGTTATGCTTTTAGAAGATAACACTGTTTTGCATAGTTGGTTATTCTTTTAGAAAATAACACTGTTTTGCATAGTTGGTTATGCTTTCAGAAGATAGCACTATTTTGCATAGTTGATTATTTTTAGGAGAAAATAATAAAGCCTCCGAGGTTGCGTTTCTTTCTTTAAAACGTTTAATAATGCTCAAGCTTTCGGGTATGGTGGCCCTTCTACAGGAGCAACGCAAATGATAGTGAATCGTCAGAAGCTGTTATATATTTACCTAATATGTTTACATATTTACAAATTTTTTTATAAGAGAACTATTAATTTCTTGATATATGCTAAGTATTGAAATATTATTAATGTTTATCCAGAATATTTACATCTTTCTAAACTTAAGGTAAAAATTATTATATAATAATTTAACATATGAGATTTGAATTAGCTATGGAAAAGTGTTACGAAATAGGAGCTATTGCATTAAATATGGGGAAGTGTACTTTTTTACTTGCTATTTATGAGTTCTGTATATGATTCTGGAATTTAAATGTGTCTATTGATGCTTGCGTGTTTTAATGATAAAAAAAGCTTCTAAGTACAGTCTTTTCTGTTTGTTGTTTATGTTGGTGTAGAAAGTTTTTGGGTTATTTAGGTTGAAGGTGTGACCTGTATTTTGCGTGTGTTGGTATAAAAGGGATTTTTTTATCTTTTTTATTCGTGGATCTGGTGTGCTCGTTTGTCCTGTCTATTACTTGTCTGCTGGTTTCGCCTATGTACATACTATTGCATTGGTTGCATTCTATTGAGTATATTGCTTGACTGTTGTATATTGGTGAGTTATGGCTATTGTTTTTTGTTATGGGATTTCTGACTATTGCGCCTATGTTGGGTGTGTTTTCGTAATATGTTTTTATACCGTATTTTCTAATTTCTCGGGCTATTGTTACGCTATTAGGGGAGTACGGTATGATGCAAATAGATTTATATGTTTGATTATTGTTTGTGTTATTGGGGCTATAAAAATGCCTTAATATGAAATTTTTTGGGTATCCGGCTGTGGTAAGATATTGAATTATATTTTTAGTTTCTATTGCTTTACTTGTGTTGTTGGAGCAATGTGTGTGTATCCGTTTTGTTAGGGTGTTTACTGTGTTGATTTTGTGACTTAGTGGGCAGTATGATGAATATTGTATGAAATTGGGTTGGAATGTAGGCTTGTAATATACTGTGGAAGTGTACTGTGAGTTTTTTTTTAGTAATGAGGATGTCAAGGAATGGTAAGGAATGATTGCTTTCTTTTTCTATGGTAAAGTTTAATTCATTATGGAGGCTATTTATTTCAGTTAATATATTATTGATTTTATCTGTTTGGCAAATGCAAAAAATGTCATCTATATATCTTTTCCAGGTTTGTATTATGTTAGGGAAACGACTGATTATTGTTTGGTCTATGTGTCTCATGACTATTTCGGCTAGTGGGGAGGATAAAGGACTACCCATAGGGGAGCCATTGGTCTGTTTGTAGTGTTTAGAGTTAAAGGTGAATATGTTTGTTTTTAAACTTAGATTTATCAATTTTGTGATTTTGCGATTAAAGCTTGAGCATTATTAAACGTTTTAAAGAAAGAAACGCAACCTCGGAGGCTTTATTATTTTGTCCTAAAGATTTCACAGAGGTTATAATATTGGAATAGTTGATTATGCTTTTAGAAGATAGCATTGTTTTGCATAGTTGGTTATGCTTTTAGAAGATAGCACTATTTTGCATAGTTGGTTATGCTTTTAGAATATAGCACTATTTTGCATAGTTGGTTATGCTTTTAGAAGATAGCACTATTTTGCATAGGTATGAATTGTGCTTTGTAACATATAAATACCGTTATCAAGTTTAGAGCGACAGTCCAGTAGCACGTTAAGTCAGTCTTGTACCTTGTGTTGGCAACAAAATCCATATTTGACCACGCAGTCGTGTTGGTGAATATAGAGACACAACAATATCTTAGCACATGTTTCATCCGATCTTCATTTTTTCAGCATATTTGAAGCATCTGTTCTCTTATGTCGATGAAAATACCTCGTATTTTGTAATATATACAGTCCACGGTATTTTCACTGAACATCTCCAGCACCTTATCTACAAAAACCAGCAATATCTTTACTTCCTTAGCTGACATTGTCCATATTAATCCCGTATAATGCTATACTCTACACTGTCTTCAAAGGTCGTTTGCGCAGCTAAGAATGGAACTAGAAATATCTTAATCCTATGAGAAAAAGCGATAAAATATATTTAAAATGAAAACAATTAGAAGCGAATGTTTCTTCCAACATAGATATCGAATTTCCACTGTCCTTACTGCAATGAAAAAATATTGGGAGGGCTTGGCTCATCAGTGGTGAACCCTCCTAGCGGTTTCGCCAATTTAATCTACCAGAAACATTCGCGTCTAAATGTTTTCATTTTCTATATATATATATGGTGCGTTATTGCTTTATATTAATAGCGGATAATCCGTATAATTGAATTGATTTAGTTTTGAATGTGATGAGGCTTAAAACGCTTGTAAGAAATAATTCAGGTAAAATAAACTGTTAACCAACACTAAGAGTCTGAAGATTTACCACTAGACATGATCTGTCAATAAATTAGCCTACGGCCATACCACATTGAAAACACCGGTTCTCGTACGATCACCGAAGTTAAGCAATTTCGGGCCTGGTCAGTACTTGGGAGGGTGACCACCTGGAAACACTGGGTGCTGTAGGCTATTACCTTTTTCAGCACCTTGGTACTTTGCTACAGTGCATTGCGGTTTGTCTGCTTGCTATATTCATTTTTGGGCTCAAAATACACTCTGGTTAGTAGCCCGTAAAACCATATTCTCTCTCTGTCAAGAATTGTGATTTGTAAAGTTTAAATATCACTTGAAAGTTACTCAGGAGATGAGAGCTGTGAACTAACTAAATATTAGCTGTAAATTATCTTAGACTACAGCTGTAGATGACAGTAAAGATATCAATCTGTAATACTTTCTAGAGATAAAGTGCAATCTACAGTGTATAGAAGACAGTATGAACTACTGTTGGACGTACATGGTAGTAGATAGACTAACTGTATAATTATTCTCTAGAAATATTTTGTGTGCAAATTTTCCCAGATATTTGTTATAATGTATTGTAGAAGTAGGTGTGTGTGAACTACACATAAGTATGTGAAAAAACAATCGAAAAAATAAAAATCAAAAGGTCAGGTGTTAATATTGAAAATAAAAAAGGCATATCCTGACCAGGAGCACATGTGCGTTTCAGATGGCAGAGCGCCATCTGGTGGAACAAAATCAACTATTCATTGATTTAGCCTGTTCCCTGATATTTGGCCATACCAATTTCTTGATAAGAGAATTTCTTGATAGGGAACAGGCTAAATCAATGAATAGTTATTTTCTGTTCCACCAGATGACGCTCTGCCTTCTGAAAAGCACATGTGCTCTTGGTCAGGATATGCCTTTTTTTTATTTTTAATATCAACACCTGACCTTTTTATGTTTTATTTTTTCTATTGTTTTTTCATATATTAAGCGTATTTACGCAAGTTTGGCCTTAAATACCCATTTCTTGGTTTCTCAAAAAGCCACTGGGACCAAAAATCTTTTTGGTCGCAGTGGTACAGCCTACTCCACGCTGACGAGCGCTAACAGCGCGAAACGCGTTCGTGGATGGCTTTTCTTAATTTATCAAGAAATTGGTATGGCGAAATATCAGGGAACAGGCTAAATCAATGAATAGTTGATTTCTGTTCCACCAGATGGCGCTCTGCCTTCTTAAAAGCACATGTGCTTCTGGTCGGGGGGGATATGCATTTTTATTTTTACAAAGGTATATATTATCTAAGATACCGATGTAACCTTCGATAGAATTCAGGGTTAAATTACTTTAAAATAAGTTGAAAATTCTAGAAGCACTCGAGAAATAATTCTAGTCAGCATCTGTAGGATATTTTATAAATATTTTTGAAAGTACTTCAGCAATGACGTGTCTAGAATTGATCTGCAAATTACTTTTAAAAAGCATTTATAAAATACTGAAGAAATATTTTGAAAAATAATACAGAGAAAGTATCAGTAAAAAATACTTTAGATATATCATATGCAAATCACGTAAGAAATCTTCTGTAATTGATTCCAATAAGCATCTAGGAACTAATATAGATTCCTCTGTAAACTCTACTCATAAAATAATTCCCATCCCTGGACACTTTTATTTTCCGTTCATCATTACTCTTCACAATTCATCCTTTTATACTTCATCCCTAAGGTTAGAAATAGTCGTTATTTCTCTTTAAAATAAATTACGATTTTTCGTTCAAAAATTTGTGGTGAAACTTTTCAAACGTCTTTTCACTCTTAAAATAAGTTTAGAATATATAAATTAGTTGTGTAAACCTTTATAGGAACAGTTGAGTTGAAGTAGTAGTTGCTGTAGAAACAGAATTGTAAAATATATAAAACAACTCTAAACTACAGATAAACCGTCAATTATACGATAAATCAACTATGAATAACCTCAAATATATATAAACTACAAAGTACACTAGATATATCGTCCACAAACTACTTCAGAATTAAGTTTTAATATATTTTAGAGAACGGCAGTAAATTATCTAGGGTTGGAAGCTGTGATATACAGTAAACTCTCCTATAACGCAATTAATGTGTTCCGTGTTGTATGAAATCGCGTTATAGGAATTCGCGTTGTACGAAATAAAACTTGTATGACGCGAATGTTGTTAGGGTGAATTGTTAGTGACAAATATCATGTATTTTATTTTATAACGCGTTATACGAAAATTCGCGTTGTATAAATAAATTTGTCGCAATTTTTTATCGCGTTGTAAAAACTCGCGTTATAGGAGAGTTTACTGTATATGGTGAATATCTTCCATGAATTACTAGGGAAGGCAGTTGTTGACCGCTGTAGAAATAACCTTTAGTATGTAGTAGAAATTATTTTCAAATTATTGTAGAAAATAATTGCTGTAAAATCTCATCCTCTAGTCTATAAAGCATCTGTAATATATATATGGTAATTTGAACCAACAACCCCATACAGTCTATATAACTTGTAATAAGATTGTCATGTTGTATATAGAAACACATCTATAAATAATTATGCGCATGATTAATCTGTGTCTTTACATCACCCTATGTAATGTTATTTGTACAAAGTGGATAAATAAATAAAATCTGTAATAGATTTAAGAGTTGAGCTAAAGCAGAGATCGAGCATAGTATTGCCAAAACAACAAAGTCTAAAGATGTAAGTCATAAATCAGGTAGATTCACAATTCCCACGACAGGCCACCCACACTGTCACATGTGGTGGAATGCAGAGACCCCTCTCACACCTGGACAGGTAAAAGCGCCCTTTCTCAAACGCCCCTGTCACATAAGGTCCCCCCCCCCCCGTCTTTTAACCTATAAATACATCACCTGACAGTGGCTTGACAGTTCAGTTCAGTTTAGTTTAGTTCACCCTTAGTGCAAGCCGCGTCGGTCGTATGTTATGTCGATCTCATCCAACATGTAGTTAGGAAGAACTCGTCTATCTCCATCTTGCGCTTCTAGCTCAGCTTTTATCTGTTAACGGAACTTTCTTAGTGTAACTGTGTCTTCGTTTTTTGTGTGGATATCCCCAGCTTTCCACTCTGCCTCGACCACGACTGCCTGTATTTTGTGAGAACTTTTAAAGGTCTTCCAAGGTGCAGAGAGGTACTGGAAAACTCTACATCCTGACTGTTCCTCTTGGTCAACACAGTACAACAAGAGCTACCAGGACTTCAATTTTATTTCAGTAGTCGACAGGATCTCTACAAAAGCTACTGGAATCATCATCTCATTACATGAGTCGACAGGATGACTCATCACAGATAAGTCGACAACAACTCATCATCACATATATATATCTCATAAATAGCAGATATTAGAAAGCAATAAAGTCGATGAACGAGTGGTTAAAACCCTCTATTCCAGACATCCATGAACCGGGATCTAATCCCCCATTGGACACTTTGTTTTAATATGTGAATAACCTTCATATATTATTAATTGTTGTGAATATCATAAACTAACTTCCTCCTTTTGAACAGCATCTAGTAAAGTTAATTTAGCACCAGAAACCAATATTGAACTATTGTAGAAAAATCTTCAAATTGCTTCAGAAAGTAGCAATAAACTACAAAGAAGCTGAAGAGAAGAATATACTGTAGAAATCATTTCGCTGAATATCTCACAGAAATAATTCCTCGTGAGCAATCTCTGGGCTAGATCAGTTATAGAGAAGCCAATCCGACAATTCCAGCTACAAAGTGGAACATCCATTCCTTCTAGAAATGGCAACTTTTTGTGGAACCGGTTCCCGCCGCTTTTCCTGGGTCGGGTCGGACTCTTGATTGGTCAGCCTAAAAACCAACCAGAGAAAATAATTTTAATCTATACAATTCTAAATAATGATCCGTTGCGCGCTATGTTATTTGGCAAAAAGATCATCCAGAAATGTCTTTCTTAAATGTAACTGAAGTAATATAAGTCTATTAAATATGATGCCACGGGTCAGTATTCTGTCAATTTCTCTGTTGACCATACGAGATAGTAATTTCTAACGATATAATTGTTAGAGAAATTTATCATTTTATAATAAGCAATATATAGAAATACATTGTTCTGAAAAAATAGAGCAATATATACTTAAATCATTAGATAGTAAAAAGGCGTATATTGGATTGAATAAAATATTTATTTGCCAATATTTCGGCTGGCTGAACGCCAACCTTTATCGAGGCATTACATTTTTGTATATACAAACTAAGCGCCTCATAGTGTTATAACACGCTAAGTTTGTATATGCAAAAATTTAATGCCTTGATAAAAGTTGGCGTTCAGCCAGCCAATATATCCTTTACGGAGAGGTGTCCTTTTACCGGAGAGTTAATAAATAGTAAAAATGGTAATTTTAGAAATGAAAACTGTCCTTTGTAGAGAGGTGTCATCTAGCGCGAGTGTACTCTCATGGAGGTTCTACTGTATTAATATATAATTTCAAAAGATTCTAAACTAAATTCGAAAAATAAACTCTCAAAACTCAAGAAGGAAGAAAATTTTGCAGCACAAACATTGAAAATTTATACTAAGAATTGAACATATAACATACACCATTCGGATTTCCTCGTATGGAGTATTGGTCCGTTACCGTTGCAGGTATTAGATGTAATTAAAAATACATCTTTTTCAAATAAATTTATAAATTAATAATTTTTTGCCTACAACTTTATCACTTGAAAATTTTTAAGGTCTATATCTAAAAGTCAGGAGTGTTAAAAATATTGTTTAATATCTCCATATCATCACAGGCTATAATTAGGTAGATAAACCATTCACTTTTTATCTAGTCAAAAGGTAACTTATTTGAAATATAGATGGAAATTTGGCGGAAATAAATTGATCTATAAAAACAAAGGTTACCTCTCCTGTTTAAAACAGACGTCAAATATACACGCCATCTATTGACCGTCGCCGCAAACTAAAGGTCCGATGAAAATGCCACAACACCAGCTTTGACAAACTGAGAAGCGTCCACTTGGAGACCATGGTTTCTGGCTAATGGCCCTCGTCGTCAAGGGCGGATTTTATTCAATTATATTGCCACGTGGAAAATTAGAAAAGACAAACTTCAGGATAACACAGCAATTTATTTGAGCAATAAAAAACTATAA